TTTTACGTTTTTTTTTTTGGTTCTCCTTTTTCCCCTTGTCAAAGCCTTTGAAGAAATAAAACAAGGTTTTAAATACAATACCGTACCAACTGGTAATACTGGATACCGGCTATTGGTACGATACAATTACAAACAAAAGATTGGATTTATGGTTATACCGGTTTGTATCGGGATCATACTGTAAATACCGAAAAACACCAGTCCAGAACATCGGCCAATAAAAAAAATAAAATTTATTAATTTAAAAACATCAAATTTAAATTGGTTTAAAATATTTTATTTTTATCTCATTCTCGAAATTGAAATTAATGATTATGGTCATTTATTTTTATTTTTTATTTTTTTGCATTTTGTATTATATATTTTTCTATGTATATACCGTGATATACCGTGAAATTAATTTATATTTTTCTATATGTATAAAAAATATATATATCATTATATTTGCTAGTTCAGTAATACCACTGATATTACATGTCCGACTGGTAATATCGTGTACCTGTGGCTAAATTGGTATGACCACCGGTACAGTGTTTAAAACACTGAAATAAAGAGCATATATACTTTCATTGCACTTGTTAAATTTAATGTCAATTTTTATACAAGATTTTTATTTGCAATTCTGGAATCACTCTACTGATGGACCTTATTGCCAAACGTTATTTTAATTTTCTTGGTATGATGTGTACTTTATTATATTGCAGATATCTTTTGACAGTCTTTTATTCCAAAAGGTGGAACTATTGAAGGAACTGAGACGACTATATTTGAGTCCATATCCTATATTTCAAGTGGATGTTATTCCAAATCTTGTTTTATTCCCTCTTTATTTGAGATAACATTATTTATTAATATCACTAAAATAAAATTTTGTGATTTAATTTTCTAAAAAAGCTGCATTATATATAAGTTAAAGTAAGAAGACTTCCATATCTATCATCATTATATAAAAAAGAATAACATTTTTTTAAAAAAGGCAAGTCAACTACCTGGTCAAATCTCTCTCATCATTAATTATTTTCTATTAATAGCATATTATTTCTTTGTTTCTCAAATCACGCGTATCGTACAAAAAAATCCCAATACCCGCCAAAAAAAAATCTCAAGGTACTTTCACAAAATCCCATCGCAAAAGTATCGGCTTTTGGTTTCATACACATTAAAAATCAGACGGTACAAAAAAATCCTAATGTATACCCGCCTAAAAAATCTCATGTAATCTTACATAATACCACAGGTAAATTTAAAAAATCATACCACCGGTAAAAGTAAAAAATCTCATCTATTGTGTATCTACTCTAACATATTTTTTATTTTTTTTTTTAAAAAAACGTGGAATTGTTATGTGTACAAAATTTCTTTTTAACGGTAACAACTTACAAAAGAATAATAAGAAATACCGTCATAATTCTCGGTATCATGTCATTATTTATTTTATAAATAAGTGGTAAATTTTTTCTCAAGAAATTTAATGTTTTTATTTAGGCTTATGATATTGTAGATACTTTTATATAATATTTTATCATGTCATATTATATCTATATATATTAATAATGATCACCTACCCACGGTGGGCACATCTTAATATGCCCACGCTGGCATGCACACATTGGTGATGTATTTTTTTGAACATATTAACATCACCAATGTGTGCATGCCACATAAGCGGTATTAAGATATGCACACCGTGGGTAGGGGAGCATTATTCCTATATATATATACACGTATATAATACATATTAAATTTAAATATTTTTAAATATGTTTTCTTTACAACAAGTTTAAAAAACATCTTTCATACAAATGTAAAATTTAAATATTTTTAAACATGTTTTCTTTCTAAAATAGTTTAAAAAAATTATAGGTGACTTCACATCTTTCAATAATAATACATAAACTTTTACTAGTAATGCTATAGAGCCAATGGTTGGCTCCCTTATGGAGCCAAAACCCGCTCCATGTGGAGATGTCCCACATGGGCTCTATGTGGGACATCCCCACATGAAGCAATTTAATTGGGTGTTGGCTCCATAAGGGAGCCAACCATTGGCTCTATAGAAGGACCGAAACTTTTACATACTTTTACATGTTTTTAATATTATAAACATGCAAACTTTATGTTTTCTTATACAAGTTAATTTTACATTTACCATAAATTATATCACATGTTAATCTCACATCTTTAATTTATAAGTTTTTTTTGCTCTTTTAAAATAGAATAATGTTCACTACCACTCAACTCGAGACCTATTTATAATTATTATTATTATTTAATATAATCACCCGTGCATTCAACGGGACTACGTACTAGTTGACAAAAATTTAAATCTGTAGGTGTGGATACAAATAACTATATGGTATAATGCAGTTAGCTGTTAATTAATTTCCAATCAAATGTAACAATACCTAATAGTAACACCACAAATCCAACACAAATATATTTTATATTTTTTTTTCTTAAAAA